AGAGCGTAACGCTGTAGAAAACATTGTGGGTCTTTGAGCCACTAAAAGAAGGCCCTTCAACAAGGTTTCCAGCTTTCCTTCCTAGTGTATTCGTGTAATGTGAAGGTGTTCTCTTTAATTGTTAGAAAACTTGCCCGAAACTGCTTCAAAATATCACTGTCAACCCGCACAGCTTCCAGTTACATTGTCATCCCCCCCCTTTTCAAAACATGCTGCCACATTAGTACTGCATATGTTTCCCTGAGTCAGTGTTGCCACATTGCACTCAGAAGTGCTGCTTGAACCTGGCTTTCCTGCGGGCATACAGTACACTTTTGACCCTCAAGGAGCTTGGCACCGTGCTAACGTGAACCATACTTACATTCCCCAAATGGCCCATGACCACCCCTTCAGTGCCTTCAAACCAGGAGCCAGTACAGGATTGCATGTTGCCTTCTGCTGTCCTGTTTAACTAGGAGCAGTTCCCAAACCTTTTCTTCAGGCCGCAGTTTGAAGAGTCCAGACTCACAGTTGGGTGGAATGCCCTTCTCTTTGGAATCTTCCAGTTGTTTCCTTATGGCCTCAGTTACCCATTCTTACAGGATGGGACAGTGCTGATGCTCAGTTTGATCACTTGTTAACGGGACACTTGCCAGATTTATCCATAGAACAGGATCCCCTACCTTCCTCCCCTTACTCTTTAAACTGTATATTCCTTACTTTTCCACCAGCTTACCAGTGTAAGGAAAACTTTTTTTTTTTTAAAGATTTTATTTATTTGACAGACAGCGAGAGAGGGAACACAAGCAGGGGGAACAGCAGAGGGAGAGGGAGAAGTGGGCTCCCCGGTGAGCAGGGAGCCCAACGTAGGGCTCCATCCCAGGACCTTGGGATCATGACCTGAGCCGAAGGCAGACGCTTAACCGGCTGAGCCACCCAGGTGCCCCCAAGTAAAACTTTTAAACAGCATCTTCTGTAATATCTTCTAGAAGATGTTCAGTCTAGCATTTTTTTGTAGTTTCCACAGGAGGAGTGTCTGCAGACCTGTTGCTGATCCATGGAAGCCTGGAGCCTGTCCTCCCAGCATAGCCATCCTCCATACTGCTACCCCCACAACCCTGCCCTCCCTGTCACCGCAGACTGTCACTGCCTGTTCTCCCAGGCCCTCACTTACTGCCCCAGCCTCGTCTCCTGCCAGCCTAGCCCACCAGTGCTCAGCAGGCTACGGTAGCACCCAAACTCATCCTTTATTCACTTACTCAGACCGTGCCTGCTTTGGGTGCTAAGCTAGCCCCTGCTCCTCAAAGCTATTGGTCAGAGGGATACAGTCATCAAAAGAAGCAAAGGTAGTACCGCCTCTAGGTTGTGATCGTCACTTGGCACTCCTGTGCCTGGCACTGTGTGTCAGGTGGAGGGACAACAATAAAGAAGGCACGCACTGTTGGGGGGGCGGGGGCTGACCTATGTAGTGGTGTATTCCAACCACACTGGGGGGCCTAGGGCACTCTTGCTCATGGGATTGGGGAAGGCAGGAGCAGGGAATGCTCCTCAGAAGTGCCATCTTAACCCAAAAGAAGACGGGAGAGAGGGCCAGCCCAGAGCCATTGGTGACACAGGGTAGGAGTCATTAGTCACTCCTCCCTCTAGGGATGGAGCTATTGATACCACTGCCTACTATCACTGGCCTGTCTTGAGCCCTCCTTGCCAGCCAGTAGAACTCCTCAGCCCTGGAAACCCAGCTCAAGCCTTCCTCCTCCAGGAAATCCCCATCTCTGGGCTTCCCCTGTGCCTGGAACAGGGAAGGGTGTCACTATTTTTTTTGTTACTTCTTGTCCCCCTGACTAAACTGGGGGCTCTTGAAAACCAAATGCGGATAATTCTGCCCTGTTGTTCCAGCCCCTAGCAGAGTCTGGCTCAGGGCTGGGGCGGTTGATGAACATTCATCAACTCAACCGTGACCTCAGACAAGTTCCCCAACCACACAAGGGAATTTTGTGTACCTCCTTTTCTTTTCATCTGTAACACTGAAGAGTTGGAAGAGTGGTTTTTCTGGGGATCCTCCCAGCTCCAGAATATATGAACGTGGCTTCCTGAAGTCCGCTCTCCGCACGGCAAGTAGAATGATCCTTGTAAGATAAGAGCCCTCATCCCTTCCCCTGCCCGAGGCTCCCCAGTAGCAACCTGACAGCCTTCCACATCCCCCTTGAGGCCTCTCTGCTGCCCAGAACCTTCTGGCACGTAGCCACATGGCTTGCTCCCTTGCTTCCTATAGGCTTTTTCATCTTTTGTCCCTCATTGTGTTCCAGTCAGTTTGTTCTTTTGGACACTCGCCTTATCACAGTGTCACCTAGTGCAAGGAGCCCTTTCGGCCAGACCAGCAACTGTGTCGTTTGACTTTCCCTTTCTCCGTCCAAGCACTCCCCTGCTTTTCTGCCCCCACAGGCCACTGGAGAACCACAACCACCCACTTCTCCCAGGACCAGCCTGGCTCCCTCTGTGGACATTGGGTGCGTTCCCTGCCCCTGGGGTGCCGTATTAGGCCTTAGAATATGTCCTACCAAGGATGTGCAGAGCACTGTGGTCAGAGATATTTGAAATAAATCTTTTCTCTGTGGTGTGGTATCAGTTTGATACACAGTTAAATTCATGTGTTTGTGTTTGCATTCAATATAGTAACATTTTGTCATCGCTTATTTTTGTTTTCATTTTGGTTATGTAAACTTTTACGTGATTCAGAGGGGTTTTGTCTCGCGCCTATACCTTACCTCATTCCCACCCACCTGGGACTAGGAAGCACTTCTTCCCTTGTTTGTCACATGAAAGGCAGCCTACGATCCGTAGGAGATCCAGAGGTGCTCTTTGACAGCCCTCTTCAGCTGCATGGCTCTCCATGCTATAGGCGTAGTGTCGTCCATTCATTCCGCATGTCCTTGCTGGCAGCTCTCTGAGTTGTCTGCAGTATTGGGGCAGGAAAAATAATGCCATTACAAATACCATCATACGCCTGTTGTTTTGCATTTTGGGGGGTGCCTCTTTAGGGTAGAGTTCTAGAACGGATGGCCTTTGATGGCATTGATACCCTTGTTTATATATCTAAGATGCATTGCCAGGGCATGTGGTTTGTACTTGACCTCATGGTGATTAAACCATTTGGGGAATATAAATAAGCATTCTGAAGAAGCCAGACCTTTCCCATGGGTGCAGTGTTGTCCTCTGACTCCAGGACTGTCCAGGTTCCAGGGAGCAGCCCTTCAGCAGTGCCCTTGTGGCGGACTGTGTGGAAGTGGTCGTCCCAGTCCATCTGCCACTCTGCCACTGGCAAGCCCCCCTTCTCCCCTCTGTGATGGGGGCATGCAGGCCACAGGCCACACCTAGCTTCCCAGGATTCTTCCTCATTTCCTGCTGAGGAGCTAAGACTCTGCGAGGATTGAAGACTATGCTCTGTGCTGCAACAGATCAGAGACCCTCACTTTACAGCAAGAAAAGATCTCCCCTGGGCCATGGGCTGGATCAGGGTGACCCTGGCAGCCATGCTTAAAGCCCTGAACTGCTAGAGGACAACCCAGGATAGGGAGGAACTCAGGTGCAAGCCTGTCTCTCGACCCCTGACCTGAGCTGTTTCGAAAAGGCCTGTCCTCCTGGTGCCAAGTGTGTCCTGATACAAACCCACCTCTGGCAGCTTACCCACATCATTTGAGTCTGGTTACCAGTGCACACCACAGTGCCTTCGTTGGAGTCTCCACAGTGTGAACAAGGGAGAGGTTGCTTGGGGTAGACCGGCCATGAGGTAGTGACCAGTGTTGACACGAGCCTTGTGGGACAGGACAGTTCTAGGGCTGAGATACTGAGGACAGGAATAGTCTTATTCTTTTCTAGAATGAATCACCGAGAGACCAGCAGATGGCCGATTCCAAGCCTCCCCAGCCCGGGTTGTGTTTCTGCCCTCTTAGCCCTGCCCCAAGAACATCATGGCCAGACTCTGATTCCAGGGTCCAGGGCGTCATGGTGATCATTTCCGATGCACACAAGGAAGGGGCCCTACCAGGTGGAGCCAAAATATAGGGAAGGAGCTGCTCTGTCAGTGTGAAAGAATGGGGAGGCGCCTGCCCTGGAATGGGGAGGGTGCTCTTCTGCACCTTTGTCCTTGCTCTTCCCTTCCATTGGTCGAGTCTGAGGCGGTCATGTGTTGTAAGGGAATGTCTGGTGATAAAAATTTACCAGACCTGGGATGGCTTCTCTTCTCACTCCCAGAACCCTGGGCAGCAGTTTCTGGTTGCCCGAGATGGCCAGGGTTTTATAGTGCCATTGTGACTTTTCTCCCTCTGGGGTGTTGGTACCTATTGTCAAGATGAGGAAACTAAGACACGGGATGTTGAGGTCACTTGCTCGGGCCCATGTTTAGAAATTGCAAAGTCAGGATTTGAGCTCAGGTTGGCTGGTTCAAAACCTGCATGTTCTTTCCACAGCACTGTGCTGTGCGCCACCTCCCAAGGGGGTAGTGCTGGGCTCTGTTACTGTCAGTCAGTTGTATTGTGCCCCATGACTGGTTTTTATCAAACACACATCTGAGAAAACTTAAAACACAGAACCTATAGTAATGCCCAAGCCAGGTCTTCATGAAGAGTAGCCCTGCCCGCATTTTGGGTGGGCAGCTCCCTCTCCAGCAGTCAAGGGCCTCTTGTCAGCCATCAAGCCTAGAGGCTCTCGGGCACAGCTTGTAAAGTGGCCTCTTCCAAGGCGCTGCATTAAGAAGCCACATGGTGTTTCTGCCCAGAAAAATACCACCTGTACAGGCCGCTCACTCTCCTGTATGTTAGAGCAGTGGGACTTGGGACAGAAGGAGTCAGAGTGGTCGCAGGACAGGTAGGGGAAAGGCATCAAAATCTGGGTGAGCATTGGCGGGGCAGCCCTGTCTCTCAGAGCCCTACCTGTGCTGGGGTGCCCCCAAACCTGCCATTGCTCACTTTTTCTACAAATCAGTGTGTTCCCTGTGATACTTACATACTTATTTAACACTTCAGGGAAGAAAAGTCAGAAGACCAGGATCTCCAGGGCCTCAAGGACAAACCCCTGAAGTTTAAAAAAGTGAAGAAGGATAAGAAAGAAGACAAAGAGGGCAAGCATGAGCCCCTGCAGCCACCGGCTCACCACTCTGCTGAACCAGCAGAGGCAGGCAAAGCAGAGACCTCAGAAGGGTCAGGCTCAGCCCCAGCTGTCCCAGAAGCTTCTGCCTCCCCCAAACAGCGGCGCTCCATCATTCGTGACCGGGGACCCATGTATGATGACCCCACTCTGCCTGAAGGTTGGACCCGAAAGCTTAAGCAAAGGAAATCTGGCCGCTCCGCTGGGAAGTATGATGTGTATTTGATCAAGTAAGTAAGGGCAACTCCTGTCTCTACAGAGCAGGGAAGGCTGGGTGGGCAGGAGGTTGGGGACAGGTGCTAAGAAACTAATGGGGATCCCTTAGGGTGGCGGCTCTTTGTTACTTGTTGATCAGGAAAATGTGTGTGCATACCCCCACCTTGGGTTGGGAGGGCTTTGGTAGACCACTTGCAGACCCCACCAAGTATGTTTGGAAATGACTGTGTACAGAGGTCACTGCCGTGGGTGAGATGTACACAGGGTATAGCAGAGTGTGATTTTACTCCACCAGCCCTTCAGGTCTTGTCTGGAGGTAGCATAGCGGTAGGGCCTACCCAGGGCCACAGTGAGGAGACCAGGAGAGGTCACCTGGGAAACACTGAGGACACAAGGCCCTGCCCAGGCTGGGCCCAGAGGCCACAGGACCTGCCATGTGTCGTGGCCTGCGCTTGGAAGGCAAGCAGAGCTCCCTGGGTTCCTCCCATTATACCCGCTGGAAAACATCCAGCTGAGGGGCTCTTCTCAAAACCAGTTAAAACTCCTTTCTGTGAGTTATTCTGTGACATGGCTTCATGACCCAGAAGAAGTAGGAATTCATAGGGCTCAGTCCACTCTGTGAATCATGTTGGGAAAGGTTGGGCTCTCTGACAGGGCCTCAGGAAAGACACATGCCTTTCCAGCTGTCATTGGTGCGTTTGTCCAGCTTTGGGCTGGTCGTTGGGCATTTTCTGTTCAAACAGAGTAACTTCCAAGCCAGAGCTTCAGAGGAGGACTGAATAAGTACATTTTAGTTCTGACCCTTAGATGATCCAGAAAAGGTTAACAGTTTTGGAAGGACATTTGCAGACAACCTCGTTTGATTCCAACAACTCTGACAAGGGTGAGCAAAGCATTATCCTATTGACAGATGAGGAAACCGATCCCAGAGAGGCTAAGCAGCATGCCCAGGTTCAGACAGAGGAGTGCTCTACTTCCTGAGTGGGCCCAGGCACCAGCCAGCAGAATGGGCTCCCCAGCCTGATGGCTCAAGAGGGTCCCCAGGCCAGGCCCCTTTGGGGGCCAGAGGAGGGGCCTTGGTGGTAGGCGGACCCTCAGGGGCGTCCAGGCAACGGCTGTTACTGGAGCGAGCACACCCTCTAGGTGCCCGCCGCCCCGCTGCCCAGCAACCCGACTGCTTCACGTGTGGCTGTGACCGTGCCCCTCTAGTTTTAGCCTGTTTTGGCTTTTCTCTACTGTGACTCTCATTCAGTAGTATCATCAGGCAGGTCAGTTGCAGAACGTCCTGTCCCAGAGTTCACCACCTTCTGCTCTGCCCCATCTTTGTACATTAGCGTGGAAGCTTCTAATCGTTCTTTGTGTCTCTCCATTTTTTCCCACAGTCCCCAGGGAAAAGCCTTTCGCTCTAAAGTGGAGTTGATTGCGTACTTCGAAAAGGTAGGCGACACCTCCCTGGACCCTAATGATTTTGACTTCACGGTAACTGGGAGAGGGAGCCCCTCCCGGCGAGAGCAGAAACCACCTAAGAAGCCCAAATCTCCCAAAGCTCCAGGGACTGGCAGAGGTCGGGGACGCCCCAAAGGGAGCGGCACTGCGAGACCCAAGGCAGCAGCATCAGAGGGTGTGCAGGTGAAAAGGGTCCTGGAGAAAAGTCCCGGGAAGCTGCTCGTCAAGATGCCTTTTCAAGCTTCACCAGGGAGCAAGGCCGAAGGGGGCGGCGGGGCCACCACGTCAGCCCAGGTCATGGTTATCAAACGCCCTGGCAGGAAGCGAAAAGCCGAGGCCGACCCCCAGGCCATTCCCAAGAAGCGGGGCCGAAAGCCGGGCAGTGTGGTGGCAGCCGCTGCCGCAGAGGCCAAGAAGAAAGCAGTGAAGGAGTCTTCCATCCGGTCCGTGCAGGAGACCGTGCTCCCCATCAAGAAGCGCAAGACCCGGGAGACCGTCAGCATCGAGGTGAAGGAGGTGGTGAAGCCCCTGCTGGTGTCCACCCTCGGCGAGAAGAGTGGGAAGGGACTGAAGACCTGCAAGAGCCCCGGGCGGAAAAGCAAGGAGAGCAGCCCCAAGGGGCGCAGCGGCAGTGCCTCCTCACCCCCCAAGAAGGAGCACCACCACCATCACCACCACTCAGAGCCCCCGAAGGCACCCGCGCCGCTGCTTCCACCCCCACCCCCGCCCCCACCCGAGCCCCAGAGCTCCGAGGACCCCGCCAGCCCCCCTGAGCCCCAGGACTTGAGCAGCGGCGTCTGCAAAGAGGAGAAGATGGCGAGAGGAGGCTCGCTGGAGAGCGACGGCTGCCCCAAGGAGCCAGCTAAGACTCAGCCCGCGGTCGCGACCGCCGCCACGGCCGCAGACAAGTACAAACACCGAGGGGAGGGAGAGCGCAAAGACATTGTTTCATCCTCCATGCCAAGGCCAAACAGAGAGGAGCCTGTGGACAGCCGGACGCCCGTGACCGAGAGAGTTAGCTGACTTTACACAGAGCGGATTGCAAAGCAAACCAACAAGAATAAAGGCAGCTGTTGTCTCTTCTCCTTATGGGTAGGGCTCTGACAAAGCTTCCCGATTAACTGAAATAAAAAATATTTTTTTTTCTTTCAGTAAACTTAGAGTTTCGTGGCTTCAGGGTGGGAGTAGTTGGAGCATTGGGATGTTTTTCTTACCGACAAGCACAGTCAGGTTGAAGACCTAACCAGGGCCAGAAGTAGCTTTGCACTTTTCTAAACTAGGCTCCTTCAACAAGGCTTGCTGCAGATACTACTGACCAGACAAGCTGTTGACCAGGCTTCTTAGGGTATGCCTGCACCTCCCCTCCCACCCAGACCTCCTCCCCACGCCCCCCCCCGTGTGGTCATTAGGGACAGAGAGTGCCATTGGTGCCCCAGTCTCCGCTCTCCTCTCCCCCCACCCTGCGCCACCCCCACCCTCCAGCTCCCCCGCCTCCCCCATCCCCACCCACATTGGGACAAGGAGGTGTGAGGCAGGAGAGACAGTTGGATTCTTTAGAGAAAAAGACAGAGATGGCCAGTGGCTACAGCCTGTGTGATCTCACCCACGGTGGCACAGATCTGGCCCCACACCAGCCCCAATCCAAAACCGACTAGGACATTTCACAGGGCAGGGAGGTAGCACCTGTTCGCTCCAGTTCCGGCATGGCTAGGAGGGAGTCAGTCCTTTGAGCTGCTGGGTGTAGACTGGCCTGAGTCAGGTGACCAGGTGAGAGGCCAGCCCGGGGCCGTTATCCAGTGGGTGGCGCTAGAGAGAGAGAGGGAGAGAGGCCGTGGAAAGCAGCAGGACGAGGCGCAGGCAGGCTGGCCCTGGGCTCCTGGGCTCCTCCGGGTAGCAGAGAGCAGTGGGGCCGATGGAATTCCTAGTCGCTCAGAGCAGTCTGTGACTGGTAGGTAGAGGCCTAGTGCACAGGTTGGGGGGCCAGGGGGAAGGAGGGGAAAACGTTCTTCCAAAACTTTCCAATTCTACTCCTTTAGGGACAGCTTAGAACTATTTGCACTATTGAGTCTTCATGTTCCCACTTCAAAACAAACATGCTCTGAGAGCAAACTGGCTTGAATTGGTGACACTTTGTCCCTCAAGCCACCAGACATGACGGTGTTTAGAACTACCTGGATCTGTATATACCTGCGCTTGTTTTAAAGTGGGCTCAGCACATAGGGTTCCCACGAAGCTCCGAAACTCTAAGTGTTTGCTGCAATTTTATAAGGACTTCCTGATTGCTTTCTCTCCTGTCCTTCCATTTCTGCCTCTGCCTTCATCCGTCCTGTCATTTCTTCTCCTCCTCGGCCATCCCTTCTGTCCCAGGCACCCACAGTTCCCAGCTTTACCTGAGCTGATGCTGGTCAGCTCAGGCCCCCAGATTTCACCCTGCCCTTGGCCTTCCCACTGCCAGCCCTAGCCCTAGCCACACCCCCATTTTGAGCCCTGAGGAAGCCCCGGGCCCTGCTGAGTCCGCCTGGCCCTAGCAGCTTGGCCTCTCTGAAGGGCAAAGAGAGCAGCAATATCCTGTTCTCTGAGGGAGCTCCCTTCCCTGTGCTCAGACCCTGGTTCTGGGCCTTCTCAACCTACTCGAGAGAAGCAGGCAGGAGAAGTTGGACAGATTTGGACTGGGGAGCTGAGGGTGGCGCAGAGGCCCCCATGGCCTGCCGTAGCCATCAAGTAGTCTGGCTCTGACCTTGGCCTTGGCCAGGCCCAGCTATAGCACAGTGTGGTGGTGCAACGAGGCAGCAGGTGGGAAGAAATGCAGATGCCCCAGACCCGAGCTGGGACCAGTGCCTAGGCCCCTGGCCCCTCTGCTCCTCCCCTAAGTTAACCATGAGTTCTCTTCTGACGGAAAATGTCTGGCTTTCGCTCGCTGGAGCCCGGGCGGGGCCGGCATATCACACATCTCCACATCTCCGCCGGGGGGCGGTGTGGGGGCCGAGAGGCCTGGCTTTGCTGTGGGTGTTCATGGACCAGGCTCCGTCTAGGACCCCACCCTCTCATTCTGTGTTCAGGAAGTCCTTATCTAGCTGCATATCTTCATCATATTGGTATATCCTTTTCTGTGTTTACAGAGATGTCTCTGATATCTAAATCTGTCCAACTGAGAAGTACCTTATCAAAGTAGCAAATGAGACAGCAGTCTTATGCTTCCAGAAACACCCACAAGCACGTCCCATGCGAGCTGCTGCCATGAACTGTCAAGTGCGTGTTGTCTCGTGTATTTCAGTTATTGTCCCCTGGCTTCCTTACTGCAGCGTAACCATGAAGGAGTGAAACATCCTAAAAACCGTCTAGCACTTCCTTGCCAGTCCTTAGTGATCAGGAACCATAGTTGACAGTTCCAATCAGTAGCTTAAGAAAAAAAAAACGCATTTGTCTCTTCCGGAATGGTTAGAAGCAAGGGAGTTTGCCCCCATTCTGTTTGCAGAATCATAGTTGGCCTTTGTAGCATTTTTGTACCCATTTCCTTATGCTGCAAAAGCAAGTCCCACAACCAGACCCCCTCTGCTGTTGACCCTCTGGGCTTCACTTCTGACTCCTCCCCAGGAAGGGAAGGGGGGTCGGAGGACGGGGCAGGTCCTTCAGGATCCCTCTTCCTTCAAGGACATAAGGCTCCTGACCCCAAAGTGGCCTCGCACTCCTGGCACCCACAAAGGATGCCTGTCCACGCAAGTATAGCGTCTGGCCGGTTTGTCGTGGAGACACCGTCCGTTTTGGTCGGTTGGGTTTTTATGCATTACACTGAGTCCAGTGGAATGTGACTCCCGGAACCAGTGTCAAGAGCTGGCCTCTCCATCAGCTCAGTACCATCTGGTCCTGGGAAGAGGAGCACGGGGCCCACCATGCCCCCCTTTCACCCGTGACCATTCAGGGGCTGACTGGGCATTGGTGGTTGAGAGCACAGCATTTCAAGTTTCATTTTCTTTCGGCCCGGCCCGACCTGCAGCCCCCTCGCTCCCCAGCTGCTTCTCCTTACAGTTCCAAAGCTGCAGGCAGCCCCTGAGGCTCCTTAGGGTTTTCTCTCCTTCTCCCCATTCTTCCACATTCCCTCTTCTTCACCTAATAAAGGCGTCACAAGTAAGTCACCATTAAGCAGGTCACCTTGGTGGTTTGTCGCCCTGGCAGGCAGGGGCCCTGCAGCTCCCATACCACCCCTGTCCTGGGTCAGGTTGACAGGAGGTTGGAGGGAAAGCCAGGCTATGGGATTCTCACCAGCCGTGTCCAGCCCAGTTTGGGGGTGTGACCTCGATTTTGTGTGTGCTTGAACATCATGAAGATTGGGGGCATCTTTTAGGGACTGTGTGAAGAATACAGAAATTAACTGACAGCTTTCAGACACCTGTTTGTAGGGCTAGGTCACAGTCACTTTCAGCCTCCCCCACCCTCGTTCTAGTTGTTAGTTACTACCTCCTCTCCCGACAGAATGCTGTTATGTCTTTGAGCTCCTCCTACAATGCCCAGCCCAGCTCTGCCCTGCCCTGCCCATTGGTGGGCCTGCCCTAACCAGTGGAACCGCTGGCCTTGACACTGTAGTGAACCAGGGCACCGAGCCACAGCCAGGCTCTAAGACAGCTCTCCCTTCTGCTGCTGCTGTATTCCCCTTATCAGAAGGCACAGGCGACACCTAGAAATGCCCCGTTTCCCAGTCCATCAGTGCCAAACGACCCAAGGACCTCAGCCCCCTCAAGTCCCTGGAAGGTGAAAGCCGTGGTGGTGGCCCAGGGACACTGGCCACAGCCGGCACCTGGCTTCTACTCCTGAGACCCCGTGCAGGTGCGGGCAACAGTCTGTTCAGGGGCACCATTCCAGGCTAGAGGCCACAAACGGCACCAGGACCCAGAGCAGCCCCAGGTTGTCACCTGCTCCTCCGCGCAGCTTTTCATTGATCTGACAGGGATGATGAAAGAAGGTACTAGCCTGAAACAAACTGCCATGTTTGGTGGGAAAGGTGTTTCTTTAGCTGACAGGACCTCTGGATTGAAGTAACTTTTAGTAAGCAACTGAAGCGCAGGAGGGGGCAACAGGTATGAAGTGAACTCACCAGGGGGGGCCGACTGGATCTTGCAGAGCCCAAGTGGAGCCTAGCAGCCGAGCTCTGTGCCCCCTTTCTGGAGCATTTGCACCTGGCTCTCTGGGCTGACGGAGCCAGGGAAGGTCACAGGTGCTGGTTCTTGGAGAAGCCTTTTGCGCATCCTTTCCTAGCCAGTGTCGCCCCGAATTGTTTCCTAATGTGAGTCACGCACAGATTTTAGGACTGGTGGCCCAGACCTCAGGAAGCAAGCTGTGTTTAGAGCCCTGTTCCCAGAGTCTTGGCTCATGGGGGGGGGGGGGCGGCGGGGGCAAGCATGGCAGCGTCGCCCAGCCGGTGGTAGAGCCCCTGCGGCCCCACCACGTTGCGTTCCTGATCTTACTCTGTTCTCTGTAAGGGCCCCACCTTCGCTCTCTCCGCCAGTAAACTCGTCCACTCTGGAGGGGTTTGTCGAGTCTCCATTTTTGCGTCTTTCTCGTTTAGATGCTGTATCAATCTTTAGAAAAGGCATAGTCTGTTACATATCCCTAGCATACTGCCTCCCCCAGGGTCTAAAGTTACATATTAAAGGGGAAAGAAAGTGAACACTGAAACCCGTTCTCAACAATTCAGAAGGAAAATCTAGAAAGCATTTGGCAGAAAATTACATTTCAATGTTGCTGAATGAATAAGAGCAAGCTTTTGCAAAAGTGCTGATACGAAAATATTTGGAGCTTGGCCTGACATGTGAGTGCTACAGGAAAAGGGGAATCCAGCCTGAAGCTGCTGGATCTGAGACTCGGGGCCATCTTCGCACTGGGGAGCCCCCTGTCCTGCCTGGTCCCAAAGCTGTAGGAGCCCAGCGCTTGGTGTGGGAAGCAGAGTGTCACCAGTGAGTCCAATGGCCTGCGACGTTCTCACCACCCAGCACCACCTGTTTCTTGTTCCTTTCTCATCTCGACAGGATGTTCCCCCAAGTGCTGATTTTTTTGGGAAAAAGGAAGTTCTAACTAGGGTCCAGGCAACTAGGAAGGTGAGGGTGAGGTCTCCCCTTTGGCCTCTGCCTGTTCCCTGAGGACATTCCCCCTCTCTGCTCTCCT